CATTGACAGGTGTAACATGAAAAAAGCAATATTTACCTCAATAGTTAGGAAATCTGTAGAGATTAACGGTAAGGTTTTCCACCTTGTGGATTTCTGAATCAGAAGAAACTTAGAAGTCAGACATGACTATCCAGATCAACAAACATTGCCTCTTTTCATGATGAATGTTCACACAAAGGGTAATTTCGTTTATTTTTAACTTCAGTGCTCAGTTAATCTGATTACATGATGAAATGAACAAAGGACGTTCTGAATATCAGAGGTGTTTTTCCTGCTCACTCTGGTAACTCAAACTGGTAGTTTACATTTCCGTTAACAAGAAGCATACAGCTCACTTGAAAAGATAGTGAAGATTTACACGTTGTCCATAAAATAATTTTTACACCATGACCATCATTGTGACTTAATTTTATGTGTGTGGAAGGCCTTAATGTATTTTCTGTGTTGAAAAATCCATTTGATGTGAAATTTGCACTGTGTTGGACAATAATGTATGAGCAATACGAAGAAATTAACGACAATCTCATGTAACCATCATGATTTCTGAATAATTTTCAAGCATAAGTTTTGTAGGAATTCTTTTGATTGCTTGAAGGATTTCCTCATGAACTGACATCAGTATGAGCATCATTGGAAATTCTAGGATTAGTGGACACCTGTATTTGAAACGCTGAGTACTCATGTTGGTGAAATAGATGCCGTACCTTAAAATTTTTTGATTCGTGCTTTTTGCTACTTCTTTTGGATGTCCTCACCATGCCTGTCTTCTACATGTTCACCTAAAGCTCCAATTCTATCACCTGTTCTTCCGAATCGGACCTTATTTTGTTCATATGACATTGGACATCTCACAACCTTAAATGTGTGTCCAACTCCGCCTGATTCAGTACAACACAATCAATACGATCACTGGTAACTGCTGAAAACCATTTCTTACAGCTGCCTATATTAAAATCGTTTCACTAAGATCTAATCTGTGCACACCTCTGTGTATGTGATGGAGTTTGATAATTTTCATACCACTGCATATTTTCGTAATGACCTCCAAACCACTGAGCAGACTTTACTTTCGAAGGCCTTTCCGAACTCAATGAAGCCAAGTTGACACTGGTATGACATTCTATTTGTTTTCCACGACGATTTAAGGAGTTGAGATTTGGTCAACCCAAAGCTTGTTTTGCCTGCGAAAATCAATTCCCTAAATCTTCAGTTTGTTGGGTCAGGTATCAATAAAATAGCAATGCATTAAGTCACATTCTGTTTAGCAGTGATCAGGATTTCCACATGATCAAGAAATGACTGGTTGACTACCTGCGTTTCTAGTAATGTTTACTGATGACGTTTTGAGCACAATTTATTACTCATAATTATACCATACCTTTGATATGAATATTAGTAATAAATTTGACGCGAAACGTTATCAGTACCATTACCGTGTAATACTGTGAGACTTTATCAAAACAAATTTTGCGTATAATGGACTCATAATGAACATTAGTGGCAATGTTTAGTTTTACTCTTATTCTGGCTACATCATATAAATGAAGGACATCGTGAGTGTGGGGAATTAGTCAATCAGGGGGTCATGTCATTGTCTAGAATATTGTGACATTTCAGAGCAGAATGTAGGTTAAGAAAGTAAAACGATCGTTGGAACAAGTGATAAGATACGCAATAAGTATGTGTTTGGTTAATTGTACACATATAAGACAGAATTACACGCTCAAAAAGTGTGGCCTAATGACGAATTGGTGAATTTTCATGTTCTACTAATCAGTTCCAACCGCTGCCAAATTGAGATGTAAATAGCGTAACAGCTAGCCAATATCATGGAAGAGTAATTGACCAGGCGTCATCCATAGTGTGCAGATTTCTTTGTTCAGACCTATCCTTGCGTTTTCATGTTACTGGTTTCAGAGGCAATCATTACCGATTATGCGAATTCCGTTCAGCTTTCCAGCACGTCTCAATCTAAAGGAAAAAAGTAGGGTAGAACGTATTGGACCTCCAATGAAGGTCTTTTAATTAGTGTCATCGTGAAATAACTGATGGACATCATAGAATGAAAGATTTTACTGAATATAACAGATTCTAGCAAACGAAATCCTGTTTCAGTCAAGTTACCATGGAACTCCACGAAATCGAACACAAGTACACATGTCCGTTAGCACTTCAACTTAGTAGTTATTAGCAGGCAACATCATGAAAATGGAAGTATTTTTTGAATTGCTCCAATACTGCCTAGTTTTCTTATCCTAATAACATCTCGCAATACGATTAATTCCTAACAAATGGCTCAGAGAAGCGTTTGGAGGGAAGACAAATGTAATATATGGGTGATTTCCATAAGCATGAATGTGAAATGAAGACAGGGGTGCTCAATCGTAAAATGATATATGTTAGAACATAATTTTGACATTCGAACTTAATCAAAGAAAGATTAGTAAACATGGTCAGATTGATAGTAAGCGAGCTATTTCACTCACCCCAGCAGTACTGATTGAAACAGAAGGAGCACGTTGAATGGTGTCAATTAAGTGATCAGATTCCCAAAGCATGACAAACATGTATTGAACAGCTGAGATTGACACAAAAACATGACGTCAAGTCAGAGCCTTTATGGGTTTTGAAGATTTGATGTGGCCTGAAAAGTATTTGCAGCAACCTTGGCGAAATTTCATCAACAGACAAACTCGCTGACAGGGTATTCAGTGTCAGATAGCTGATGTTACGGAGTATAAATACAGAGGAGGCCGTTTTGGAACCTCTCAACTACAAATATTCATGTGGACATTCTTGAGGGAATTTGCGATCAATTTCAATGCAACCAGTTGAATCTTGATGAAATATATCTTAACGTGACATGTAGAAGATGATGTGAAGAGAAGAATACTGCTTGTCGACAGTCATAGACCAAGATGTGCCACTGACACCAAATGTTAGTTCCAGTATGACTATTAACAGTTCTGTTTTTTTCGTCATTAAGACGTGATGCTGATTAATGACTATGTGATATGCAAATTAGTGCTGATTACTTGCAAACATCTGAGCTGAGCGGAATACCACAACTACCGAATCATCAAAAACAAAATCATCCGATCAGGGTGAAGTGACGTTTCTAAACTCATGTATGCAGATTTTAACAACGACAGAAGGATACACATTTGTAAGAAAGGATCCTCAAGGTGTGATATAACTGACGGTTCTCTTTATGCATATGTATACATATATATGTGCATATATGTGTATATTCATATATGTACATATATGTTGGTTGAGTGAAGTGAAGAACAGTAAAAGTATTTGAAATCGATCAAGTGTTCAAGCTGTTAGCTAAATAGCACACTACCTAATCGACTGATGAATTCCGAAATACGTAGGATGCACTATCGTGTTTATTCCTCCTTATTTTTCTCATTACTGTATGCTTACATCAGAGAAAAAATCACAATCCATAACATGATGTCAAAACTGTAGGTTTAGCAACTGTCTAAACGTTTCTTTTGTATCTGGTAGATATTCCTTGTGAACTTCGAAGCAGCACCACTTCACAGTAAACACTTTTGTCTGAGGACTTGGTTTCTATTTAGGCGAGAACATCATTTCCAACAAAGAGGTATGCACATGGAAATACTGAATCAAATAGCGAAAAACTAGTTATTCTCGAGTCCCAGTCTTCACCTTCATCTATCAGACGGGAATGCTCAAATGAAAGGTTCTCTTATTTTCTGTCGTCAGGACTGATTATTTTCAAATATATTGATAGCCAATTGTGCATTATCAAGCGTTAGTTGAAATTATATCTCACAAGTCATATGGCCTGAATGTTCTAACACCCACTGCAAAACACCGACACAAAAATCAATGTCAGTTGAGTTGGTAGCACTATTGATTGATGTTTTTAACTTTTTAGATAAAATAGTGTTCAGATCAAAGTAAAACAGCTTCAATACTATTATTTAAATATTTTAATTAAACCCTCAAGTGTAGAACTTTGGAGCAAAGCTTAAAGTACGAGGTGGATATATATTAAATTAATTGTAATTCACGGATGTGACTCGCTTAACTATTAGTGATCTATTCTATTTGAACCACATGTAAGTAATTCTTATCTCAAGAACTGTTCTCATCACGATTATCCTGCTGTTCACAAGAATCTATCCAGAAGACGTCTTTGATGAGCACAACAAGACACCCCACCTATTTATTATACATATGCATAGTATTCCACGTTTAATGCCGATGAATGAAAGTATTTGGAAATGAGCATCTTAGATCACTTATACATATTTTGTAGAATATCTTCAGTTCACAAGAGCATCATATTCCCTCACAATATCCCCTTCACTTATATGTGGAATTCTGGAGTAGAATCACTGTCTTAGGTGAAGAACCAGCTGAAAGCAAGATTTCTTAGTATGAACAAGCTGAAGCAACATTGTTGTCACAGCTTGATACGATTACGCTTCTTGTTTAAAATGAGTGAGTTACCTTTTTGATTGGATACTTGCCACTACCTAGTGTGATGTGTCTAGTCTTTTCTTGGCTACGGAATGAATTCTATCAGTCAGGTATGTAATGTGGCCACCAATCCAAGTAACTCACCATAACCGCAGCACTGACTGACTCACGTTCGAATCTCAGAAGGGACAAGAGTTCATTAAGTTTGCAGATATACCTCGCTGACGAGCGCCGACCAGCATGAAACAATGATCCAAGACTTCCTGCCAATAGCCACCAATCACTTGATATCATTGAGTTCATTACTTACTCAATTTTATATTTATTAAAATTGATCGCCAATTGATACCATGACATTCTCAGAAAACAGGCAACTTACATCTCATCAACGAGTTATCAGACGAGGCAATCCATTGACACATCATTATTCGAGATTATGTGAGTACAAGTCTGAGGCTTTCGAGTAATATATCGAAAATATCGTTTCATCTGAAACTAAAAATGTATTTGTTATTCTTCAGATCGACAGCTAAATTCCGATGAATCCTCAACACATTGTAGCAATCGTTTGCATGTGAGTTTCACATTCAGCTACATTTGATGCAAAAACGCCACTAATGTGATCTGACAATAAATTTGTTGCTGTTCAGCAGTTACTATAATCTCAAACAATAATTTTATTTTTTCATAACTGAAATGAATCAGGGAACCAGTTTGGTCTCAACATTTAGTTATTTACTAGTTTTCAAATGGAATGAACACAAGTTGAAAGGACTGTTGGGTGACACCCAACAAGCTGAGTGGAACACGAAAGCAGTTCAATAAGTTGAGTTCTTCTACTTGAGATGAAGTAAAGCTTATGAGAATAAGTTGAGAGTTAATAGGTAGCGTTTGAGCCATCTAAAGATGACTTCATTAAAGAGGTTAAAATAGTGGCGTGCATTTCAAACGCTACGCTCCCCTCTAAACGAAAAAGAATAATAACAATAATTGTTCAACCATTGAATATCCTAATTCGTTGATGGAGCTATGTGGAAAATAGCAAATCATGTTGATATGGGTTGATTTCTTGTGCACTGATCTTACACTTTTATGTACAACACGTATTCAGAAACGCTTGTAAACGATTCATGACCCATAAACAGCTATATTTTTCCGTCAGACGTTACATCATAATATGCTGCAATGAACTGACTTTTTTCACCCGATACATTGGGAAAATATAAATCGAAAATGCAACTAAATCCATCTCTCTATCTGTGTGGTAGACAAATTCGATGAACTAGAACTATGAGTATTGCATACATCTGTGATATGAAATAATGTGATTACTGACGATATATTACGCTCAATACTTCATGCAGACATTATTTCTACTTTCATCACGTGGTAGGTCCTAACAAAGTCGAACATGCAATTATAAAGTACTGCATCAACATAAAGGTTTTGACCAAAACACATTACTCAATGACTTCATATTTGAATTTCAGAGTACTTGTTCCAGTCTTCAGTTTAATACTCTATTTCGTATTCAAAAGGAATTGGAAAATCGCGTGCATATTCCTCGGAATAGTTGTAAGTTTTACAAAATATCGAAATAATAAGATGACGCTGTTGATTTGCTGGCGTTTTGTGTTTATTGCAGAATTCTTCAGAGTAGTAAATCTGTTTGATTTAGAAAAAATATGGTGGAGTGATTCATTTTGAAAGGATATGTTCCATTTCCGTCCGAAATGATTCGTGGTAAACATGACTTGGAGATTCGAGAGAGTGAATGAAGGACATAAATAACCTAACCGAGATTCCTTGATGAAGAAGTGTCAATAACTTCCTTTACCTAAATTAAAGAATGAAAAATGATCTCATTCAAAATACCTCACACTTTCATGCTTTTAGTCATTTCAAAGTACTCTCTTGTGTTTGTGACCAAAAAACGTTTGCCTCACGAAAACCACTTCGAATGGGCTTCAGGCTGTCCCCCTCCAAATTGCAAATGAGATGGGCAGGAAACTTCAGTGCCAAGAAACTCTGAACAAAATAATCCAGAAACCTAATGTTCAACATATAGGCTGAAGAAAGTGTAGATGGGTGGAAAACACATGATGCAAATAACGACAGATAACAACGCGCACCATCTCCCTAAGTGAAACCCGTCTAGTAAACGACCATTGGCTTATACGAAGGTAACATTGCGTAGATCGTCTGCATGCAGTCGTAGGGTAAGCTAAAAATGGATGTAAAACAACACAAGATGGAGATGTACCTTTGAGGCGCTGTGTTCTACTCGGAATAGAAAGGAATGACCATAATAATAATCATTCCAAAAGATATTATTGAATTCCTTTCATTGTTCAAGTTTTCACGCTTGTGACTATCAAGAATTGAAGATAGCAATTCCTTTTCGGTTCACTTCGATGTCCAAGCAGTACTTGGAGGCTTTTCATACCTTCGTTGACATAGTTTCAGTTCACCTTACCCGTCTGACCATTGTGTACAGAACTCGTCGAAAAACGTATCAATGAGAAAACTTTTGGGATCATTTAAAATTATTACACACTGTACTGGTTACACGATAGAGATACAAGTGGTGGGCAATGAAAATTAAGTAAGTGATTGAACCTCACATTAAAACACAGAGTGAGGCTAATCTGAAACTCTGAGGTATCATCTTTTCTTCCGAATTAAGAGATGTTATATCCTGAAATGGTCTAAAAATAGAAGGACGGATAGACAGTTTCGTGCCGATGTCACAAAATATCAAGTTCCACAATAGGTTATAATTTCAACGCTCATATTATTCAGTTTATAAATACCAGCAGAAAGCAACTGTAGTTAGGTCATTTCATCACTCTCAGTGAACATTCGATGCTTATTATTCTAGAACTTAAGACGGAATAATTTGTGCCTTTTATTTAAGCATTTCCAATTTCTTTTTCTGACAGCTTTCACTATTGTCTGCATACATTTGTTTGACATTTTATGAAAATACCTACGATTTTTTCCTAATTGGGATCACAATTTTGGAAGACATGTTGGCAGTTATTTTCATTTACCTGACTAAGAAATTAAAAGTGAATGTATCAATCGTATTGTGGGTTTTATCCTTGACCTGTCTGGTTACTGCCATAGTTTTGGTTTTTGTACCATGTAAAAGGGTAAGTCCGTTGAAGTGCACAATGAATTGTCTTCATACTCCAATAGAATTGTTCTAATCCTTGAATATATTTTCACATATTTTCTGATTACCATATTTTTGTAGGTAAAGATCTAATAATTAAAATGGGTGGAGAAAACAAGTCAAATCCATCAGGCCAGTTACGATGCTTCATTTTCCAACATATAGACAGATTGTTAGGGAACTGCGTACTACCTCAGTGTTCAAATTTATTAGATCTTATAACCTTTTTATTGATTTTTGGTAGAACGACTGATCAAAGAACCTAGATGACTATCATAAACTGAACAATATTTATGAATCGTCAGAATTTCATTTTTCGACCGATAAGAGGTGAAAGCATGAGACGACAACAAAATTTTTGCATTGAGGATGAGTATAACTATGCCACTTTGTAAATATGTTTCATGAAATCACAGCTGAGCAGTAATAATTTCTGATCATGTTTCGATCACAATTTATTGCTCATAATCTCACCACTGTAGTCAAATAATTTAAAAACTGTGTTTATATTATTTTATTGTTTGCTGATCTCCGACTTTATTGGTAGTAGTAAAGGTTTTATTAATGATGCGTAATTTTTATCGCAAGATTGAGGTAACATTCCAATTAAGAGACATTCAGTGACTGACCTACCAACATAACGTTTATTTGTTTCTAAATTTACTGAGAAATGCACTGGTGTTTCATAACTGTGAACAGCAGATATGAAAACCACTGTGAATATCTTCGTGCAATCAAAATATTTCATTTTTCCTTTACCCTAAAATGATTGTGAGTTGAAATACATAAGACACTGGAGAGAATCACTTAGAACAAAGAAGTAATTAGGCTTAGCAAAATCAGAATAAGAGGAAATTATTAAAATGCGAAAGTTATACAGAAGACCAGATACTGCACCGCATGTTGCTGAACACAAATATTCAATAGGACCGAACGCGATAACTGTAATAAAATTAGAAACAACATGAAGACACTGACTGAAATCAACAGTACATTTTATCAAACAACTCAGAATGAATGTTCATGGAATGAACTCACACCTGCCTTCTATGTCTATAAAATGTTACCACTCCCATCATATGTAGCGATATATAATGTCTATTCCAATGGTATTTACATGATTTTCAAATGATTTTATCATATTAAGATATTTTCGAATCTTATGATCAACCATTGCCACAGTATGTCGTTTAAACCAACGAGATCTAAGCATAAGGAAGTAACTCCAATCAACAAGAAAGCCGAATTATACAAATATCAAGTAACATATCACTGATAACTTTAGCATCACTCTACTTCTACGGCATCATACTGAATATTTCTTCATTTGCTGTCGGTCTACCTTAGATTCCAACATACAATTATTACAGTCAGTATTGCTTCTCAGCATTAAAATGACCACTCAGTGGTGTTGATAAAATACCTACAGAAGAACCCATAGTAACTCACTCTTCTAGATTGCCTTTAATTATTTCCATGGTTCCTAATTTGAATGTTTATCTGACTAAACTTTCATTTTTCAGACGGTCTGCAAAATACTGTCAGGTTTCTTCTTCAACACTGCTTTGTCTTTGGTAAGTTGAATCTGCCTTATTCCTTTTAACTGCTTAAAGGACTAACAGATTGACACAGTGGTTAGGACTCTTGCCGACCATGCACATGGTCCGGGGTTCGATCCCCTGCCGGCGCACACTCGATATCTATGGTCGGCCTGAATTTGGGCTACCGATATCCATGCTGAAAATTCCATACTTGTACTGAAAATACGGTGTGGAATCAAGCTGTAAATCAAAATAAAATAAAAAATAAAGTAAATCTTGATAATATTCCAGGCATGCATCATATCCAACACATCGTTTATTTTGTTTACTGAAATTACAGTCGCATGTTAACAAGACAGAAACTTAACAAAATGATATGAAACTAATTTTAATCCTTCATATTGATGTTTTCATGCTGCTCATGTTTTGTTTTCCTAGATCACAGTGATTCTTGCTGACATGCTGAAAAGAATATAGTGTCACATGTCGATATGAAAAATACGGATTTCGATTTTGTGAGCCAAGTGCTTGATTACTGATGACTCATACACAGTTTTGTACATATTGATAGTTGAATGTAATGCGATTCAAATTGGCAATTTTAAATACAGAAAAGATTTTCTTTATTTAACTCTAACTTTTATTTGCGTGTACCATTTCTCAAAACGAATAAGTATATCCTGAATCGTCAATCGAATAATGATGGTTATATCATGTAATCTGACGCTGTGAATATTCCAACTCGGGCAGTTTTATACTGATGAATCGACATCAGCTATTACTGTTCACCGATGTGTGGGTTTCCGCATAAATCAGCACAGAATGCGTGCATTTGAAGCATTATTCGCCGGTGCATTTTGAATGTCAGATCACATATTGACATTTTTTATTTTTGTTGAAACTGTCTGCACCATTTGCACTTTCTTAGGTATAAGATTCATATTTTAGCTCTTAACTGATGATTATTCCCTAAAATAAACTGAGTAAGGCAGAATGAATACAGTCACACCTTCATCTTATAGATTTACCCTCAGTATTCAATTTATCATGTAATATGATGTATCACATCTGTGCAATGGTTAACAGATACATAAAGAATCGAATTGGGTGTTTCTAAATTGTGCATTTAATGATGCTGTTACCGTAATGAGAACAAAGAACTGATCATAGGAAGCAACAGTTTATCGCCTTTGATTCACTAGGCGTTCATGCTTGAATTTCCGTTAGCATAGATATTCTCATTATGCCAACTTGAAACTTTTTAGAAAATAGACCTTCACTGAGGTGCAATGTTTTACTTATGATAGTGAGTAACTGAAAATATATGAATCACGTGTGGAACCCTTAACTTACAGCTTCGACTTCAAATAATACGCTGCATTGTCCGCTGTAATGTATGCAAACCATGATGATAATTTTTCGGAAGAATCAACAGGAAAGTAAATATGTCATCGACGTATAACAGGCATTATCAGCCGTTATACAAAATAAAAGTATCTGAGATGAATTGCTACTCTACCGAATATCCCTAATTTCATTCTCTTAAAATTCTGTCCATATGATCCAGGTAAAAGTACGAAAATAAACAAATCATTCACGACATGATAGAAGCTAAAATTATTTAGTTTCATACACACATGAAGCCTATTCATGGAACAACTAGATGCACGTTCTCAAGTCGGAACCTTATGTGGTAATGATGCGTAAGGCAAAACAGGTAAAACGGTTGATTTAAATCATCAAGAGAAATAAAATAAAATAATCCTTTCAGCCTACCGTCAACTGTAATGAATAATGAATTCCAGTATTTGAATTACACAACTTTGAAGATAATGAGAAGCACTTGCCTGTTTTTGAATTTTGCTAAGAAGTTTCAGCTGTAGTAAAACTCAAATCAGCGCCTTACTGAGAGTTGCTCAAAATAGCAAGTGTTATATAAATTATTTCTATCAACGTCCGTGAAGTGGCATCAAAGGAAAATGTCACTCACGCGCGTGGCAAAACCAGACCAGCGTGATAACATTTCATATCACAAGTCATATAAGAATCGCATGAATGCCAAACAAGCACACACACAAAGTAGAATATAATTATCTATAAGAGAAATTTAGTGAAATATCCGATGACCATTATCTTTTAACTAGCTTGTATACAATCCCTTACCTTCATGGCACTCGCTGCTTGTTGTGTTAGTGAGGCTTCTTGATATTAGGTGCAAATTGCCTAAACGCTGCAAAAAGCAGTAGATTGATTTATTCAGGTGAAAATGTATGTTGGGTTGAGCATAGAGTTAATAGATTATGGTTAGAACGAGAGTACTGGAGTGTAGGTCATTTGAAATAGCAAGAGGGAGTTCATGTATAAAATAAGTATAGAATAGGAGCAGAATAAAAGTAGACTAGTAGAGATAGAGTTGTTATTCTAATAGAAAAACGGAGTACGTAAAATAGTTAAATCACGGAAAGATATGTATAGCATCAGAACAGTCCGCTGTAATCAAACTTATACTCGAAGCAGAGATAGGTCACAGAAAAGAAACTCAAAATGTTCCACCAGCAGTTATAACGTTTAACTACAAAATGATTTGACCTTCAGAGATGAGATATGCTACTGGCTATAATTTCGACTCTTACACCCTTTGAGATATAAAAGCTACCTTAATGGATCACTACTCACAATAATATCAAATGGAGAACAATCTTCTGTTCTTATTTTTGCATAAAGCAGCATTTGAGGTGGCCGTTTTTCTCACAGCCATTTTAACCTGCCAAAGTCTGTGTTTTTAAAACTTTTCCATTACTCTGAGTCTTGTGTTTAAATTTTACATATGCAAATAGTCGTTATAACGAATGTACCTGTGAAAACTTTTATCGATGTGTCAATAATAATGATTAGCAGTCACAAACAAATACCTGTCACATTTGCATCTGATATTTGAGTGCATATATCTGAGTATAATTTTGATGAGATGATTTAACAAATAGCAGTTGGTGTCATTTAATTACCGACAATCACTTTTGTACGATCACGGACGACGCGAGTAAATAGTCACAAAATGTCTAAAAAATGCTTCGTTCTGTTAAAACTGCATAGATAGCATAAGCAATAATATAGTCCTGCAAAAGTTTCAAAACACTACAATTTTTTGACTGCATGTCATGACTTTGTTTTTATCTTGTGTACATTATTTAGGAGGATGAGATTAATAGCTAAACACAGGAATTCCAGGAGGAAAAATGAGAAGTGAACTGTTCGAAATTTGTGTTTTGATCAGTCAATAGGGTTTAAAGCTGTCCAAATGCCAATAAAATGTGCCGTTTTATTTTTGATCCCATTTAATCACTCTCCAGACCCTTTTTCGTAGATTATTAAACCTTACAGATTTGTAAGTATGTAAAGATCTTATAATGATTATGATTATGAAGGATAAATTTTATTCGAAACATCATCCAATAAATAATACTGTTTCACTGTGTGATACATCTAATAAACAAACTAATATGGAATTACTTACTACCACATTGCCCAAGTTTTACACATATACTGAAGGCTTGCTTTTTTTCCTTATGTAAATTTTTATCTTTCTCTCCGAATGGATTCATGTGAACTTGTCATCATTGATATGTGCACAGTCTAAATGTTTCGACGAATTAGCCGCAGTACTCATGTTTGAACACAGAGTGTAAAGAGCACGGCCATTTTCCATTTCTTATTCATTGGTGAAATATGCATGCCGAAGGATCAACACATTCTGTAATAACTGTGATTATTATCATTGTAGATTTTTGTGCAATTCAACTTAAAAGCATCTTTAGCTGAAACACTCGAAATCGACTTCCAGTATTGACATGAGTGTAATCTTTATACTTTTATTCTCCCGCCTTAATATAACAAACTAATTTTAAGGCTTGAAATATTCACGTGATCAAAGCGCACCACGCATTTCAAATTGCACGAGAAGAATAACTGTCTACAAATCACTATAAAAGGATTGAATCGCCTGACTGACTTCGACTACATAGTTGTTTTCTAATTATTTTCACTGAAAATAACACGATTTGGAATAAACTCAAAACACTCAGAGGGTTACAAATGAACGACTAGTAAGACAAGTAATCTTGGTTATATAAACCAACAGCTCTACTTCATGCACAGTAGAATTCTCAGGAATTTCATAAATCACTCAATTGTGAAACGTGGTTTCACACACTCTATTATAAAGTGGCACTAAGATGAACGCATTACTTGTTGTATGCTTTATAATTCCAAAGGTTTCAATCTTGGTCTCGGTCATATAGTAGTCATTTACTCTATGGGTATCGAATTCTTTGATCTAATTGTGATTGTGTTCCTTTGACATCGCTAGATAGTTGAGAAAGATTGAGATGATATCAAGCCATTGGAATGTATCCACTAAATTACTCGTCATGATGATGGAACCGCAGATTATTTCTGAGTAGAAGTAAAGTGGAATATTTCATCTTTGTATTACAGTCGTTATTTTTCTATAGAAGTAAATGATTTTCAACTGAAGTTCAAATAAATTCGTCCGAATGTTACTTATAACTGTCGTCATGATTGTTGATACCAATTGCCAAAGTTCGTCTAAATGTAGTGAAAGGTAGCTGAAATGAGTAGACGTTCTGGAAATTATCAAATATGTGTAGCTTAAAAAAGTCGTCTTGTTCACCTGACACTATTAAAACTTTAAACTGTTCACTTAATAAACCTCCCAGTTTATATTATAGTTGATTTGCAAACGGTGTCAAGTAAAAAACATGACAAAAAATTTTAAGTTTAGGACTTTTATAATGCAAGAAATTTTATATGGAGAAAACTGTCACAATAAAATTCTTTTACCTTTCAGCACCGATTGAGGGAAACGCCTTCTGTGATTTTATTCAGACGGAATACGCAAAGCAAGGAAAGTACTTTCAACACGGAAATAATGAATGATATGATTTCCACGGGTTTAAATTTGAAGTAGAGGGAAGACACATTTAAAGAATACATCACATAGATAAGGACGTTATGTTTGTTTGTGTACAAAAAACCCACAATTTGGTCGGAATTGATGTGACATTTTCGATAATCACCATGACTGCAGTAATGATTATCATAAGCAACATGTAAGATTGAAATTATTCATCCGATCTGATCCTCATTTAGAAGTGTTCTTCGAGAATTTTTCTATAAAAATATCGCTATCAGATTGGGAATTGTGTAAGTCAATTGTCTCAGTTTGTCATTGTCTCTTCTTATGGATATCTAGGCTGGTGATTTTTCTTCTGTTTGATTTTTCTTTTTGTTTGATTTTACATTGAAAGTGTATGCATCATATCAAAAATAGTTTTTCTCCTTTAGCTTATTTGCTGCCGCTCTGTTTGTCTTCGCCTTTGCGGTCAAGAAAATTCAGGAAAACTTTTGGTATTCACATATTGCTTATGGACCAATCGTTAGTATTCAGTTTGGCTGTA